TCTCGTCGTTTCCATCATGGCGTCGATCGGCTCGGTGGTGTGCCTGTGTGCCCGCGGTAAGCAATGGTCGCCTGGTGTATTGTCAGCTTGGGAAATTGGTGGTAACATGCAAACAGTTGTGCATGGTTGGTGCTGGCCTGGAGGAGGATGGGGTTTGTGTTGTCCAGCCCGGGTGGGGGACAAGAGCTCCGCCGCGTTGAAGGAAGGAGTCTGGTCTACAGAGCTTCCTCGGTGGCGAGGGATCGTTGGTCCCTGGAAGCATTTACCACATGTTCAGCTTCCAGCTAACTGCTGCCTCTGTCAGGCTGAAGGAGTGGTCCCGTTCTGAGGGGACACACTGAGAAGTCAGGCCGGCTAAAGCCTAGTTTATATTTCTCCGTCAGCTCCATGAGGGAGAGACACGCACGCATGGAGACGATTTGCAGTTTTTAATCTCTAAACTCCACAATATTGAATAGAAACACCCAAAAGTGTTGCTCAGACTGAAGTTGCACAACTCCACTAGCTTCTGGTGCTAAGTAATAGCTTTATGAGGGATTATATTTGCAGCTGTGGCGCGTTAAACGCAATATTGCGACTTTGGGGTTAATTTAATAAAGGGTTAATTTTACAGTCCTTATGTTATGGTTCTAATTATTGACATGGTAATTTATTTTGGTGTTTTGGTTTTCGGCCTTGGCTTCCTCATTTTTGGTCTTGGCCTAGAATGTTCATGTTGGTGCGTGTCTATCTGGACCATATATCCATCCTGCCAAATAAATGTTAAAAAGACCACCTTCGGTTTTTAGGGATTTGGAGATTTCTTCATACTAGTGCAGTTGTCACTATATCCTTACTAATAATTTCTATTAGTAACAACAGAGCTACATAAGAATGTATAAAAATACATTTAGTACTACGATCAGTGAAAGTACTTGTGTGTATAGATACTAGGAATTACAGAGAGGTCCAATTGCTTTGCTTTCTGATTTCTGCAGCTGTCAAACTGTGAGAACCTGTTCACTAGGTTTGGGCATTCTTTGAATTTGAACGATTCCAATTCCAAATCCTTGGTTTGATTCCAGTTCCTATTGGTTCCCAATTCCGATTCTTTCAAGAGGAGGGGTCCAAAAACTTTACATGTTTTAAATGAGCCAGCTAACCTGATGAAATCATCTGAATTTCAACATGGATTTCATGAACAGTAACATCCCCTTCATTTAGACAAAAACATGTTTTCAAGGCAGGAAGAAAAAGACTTACAGCAAAATCAGTGTGTTTGTTTCTAACCACAACACACACCAACGAATGGGAACTGAAAAAGCTTCGAGGATGAGAGGCAAATGACTGTTAAATTAATAGTCTGCTATTTTGTTACTCAACATCGTTGTGACGCGTTGACTAATCGTGGCAATCCTAACGATGTCACATGCACAAATTAATCGCCCATTGTCTTTTTTAGAACTGTCGATTGGCAGTGGGAAAAATTATGCAAATCGCCTAACCCTAGTAGCATCTGTAGTAGCATCTGTAGTAGCATCTGTAGTGGGATTTAAGAGTAACTATACTGAAAAAGTTACATTCGGTTATCACAATAGATTACAACCACTGTTTGGCGTGCCGTGGCTTTGCCTGTTGCATCTTCCTTACATAAAAAAACACTAGCTCACATTTGTTCAATAAAGTTCTGGGGAAAAAGTGACTTGAAAAGATGTCGCACAAGTGCTACGTCTAAAAATAATTTATCGTACGGTGAGTTTTTTTTTATGACACGTGTGACATAAGTTGCGCTGTACAGCCCTGGTGTGATGTCGTTTAGTCCGTGTGCACCAGGTGATTTGTGTGTATTTAATGATTTGTAAGAGGCAAGGCAACTTTATTTATAAAGCACATTTCAAACACTGGCGCAATTCTATGTGCTTCAATGTACCAAGAGCTTAAGTTGCACACAGAAATGTAAACACAAGTTACAAATCAAAAATTACACTTGCACAGATCTAGTCACACACACACACACACACACACACACCTTTTGAGACTCGTTTCTACCAGTATTATGGTAAAATGTCATCTTCGCTATGTAAAATGATTTGCTCCCTTTGAGATTTCTTCAGCTTAATTTGTCTTCGTCACGCTTCAATTTTCAGAGCAACAAACAACTTTTACTCCCAAAGATAACCTGAGTAAATACAGAAGGCTGTTTTTGAATGACAGGTTCACTTAATAAGGGAAGTAAGTGATCCAAACCAGTCTGGTACTGTGTGACAAAAACAACAGAATAGTAAATACTTTGGCCCAGAGTCTATTTCTGTGAGGTTGCAGTAGACTTTGTGTTTTTTTCCAGCACAGTCTGTGATTGCTAATGAAGTAGCTGTGGGTTAGTGGTGACCTAACCGTTTTGAACCCAGCAAATGTGCAGCCTTCCGGCTTGCGTCACTGATGCTGAAGTGGGCCAGGAGGAGAGATGTGGTTCTGCAGCCACCTGAACAAGCGTTAGTCGTTGCAAAAGGCGGATTTGGTCACCTGGTTAAGTACAAGTGTGTGTGGTTTAGTAAAGAAGCAGGTAAGTGCAGAGCTCTGTAGTGTTGCAGCTGCTGAGTTATTCCTGACAAATCACATATAAAACAGGGGGACTGGACTTCCCACTGGGCTGCCTGGTTTTCATTCCTGGACTAGGCATTGCTCTAGCTGTGGAGTTCCTGCCAGGGCGTGAGATAAAAGTGTGACAGCTCCTGGCTTTACATTTAGTCTAGAAGGTTTGTGTCTAGCTTTAAATGTGCTTTCAGTTAAGTCTCTTTAGTCAAAATGAGTTGTGTAAAAGACTGAAATGATGGTTCTTCTGTTGGACTTTGTCATTCTTCTTCTCTGGTTAGGAATATTTGGCCTTTTTTCTGAATTGTTTGAAATGTGGTTAGGTAAGTCATCCAGTTGTGCAGGTGAAAGGCCTTCTATACACGGAGATGTGATTTAGTTGGGTGTGTTTACTAGTCTAAAGCTGCTGAGGTGCATCAGCAGGGCTGGATCTGCTGGTGACTGCAAAGGGGGTTATACAAAGGTCTAGTATGATGTCATGGCAGGCCTTGCGTGGTTAATCATTCACCTTTTATGATCAGAAGATTTTATTGCTACTCAATGAGGCGTTAAAGATTAGAATTGATGTGTGTCCAGGTTTTAAAATGCTGCCGTGGGCTTTTTCTCACGCTGGAGCATCCTGTTTTCAGTTCGATGAAACCTGACTCTCGGCCTAAAAGAGTTTTCTGATGATTTTTCTTTCCTGCCAGGTGGACAGACCCCTGCTTGGTCACCGTGGTAACGCTCTGCCATGCCTTTCCCTTTTGGCAAGTCCCACAAGTCACCGGCAGACATCGTCAAGAATCTTAAGGACGGCATGACCGTGCTGGAGAAGCATGACATCTCTGATAAAAAGGCAGAGAAGGTATCTTCTAGAGGTCGAGTGATATATATTTATTACTGATGCTGATGTCAGCCGTAGGTCGATACGTACTTCAGATTTTCATGGTTCAATTTTCATGGCTGACATCTAGACAGTTTCCCCCTTATTTTCAGGCTAAAATGTCACTAATAACATCAGTTGATGCAGAAAAATTTTAGCCTGGCCTGCCAGACTCACACTCTCTGGATACTCGGAGGCAGAGAGCACCATGAGGGGCGGGGCTAGCCAGCTCAAATAACCAATCAGAAAAACACGGAAATGACAACTGTATCGCGCAACGTGGTAGTTTTTTAGCTGTAGTCAAAGATTTTGTCTGGTGACAGAACAAATGTCTTACTCTAGAAGAAAGGCTTTTAGTGCTGCCCGAGGATATGCCCAACTTTAAATCGGCTTTACTAAGGACAAATATCGGCCAATGTACAAAAATGGTAAGTATTGTCCAAGCAAAAGGCCTTCTTTATAAACCTACTGAGGATTTGCTTTCCTAAGTCACAGACATTTGGGTATTTCTCCGCTTTAAATGGGTCCTTCACTAAGAAACCATTTTGCTTATTATTTTTTAAATCAGTCGGTCATTCTGAGTTTAACATGTTGATGTTTATGTATTTAGCAGACGCTTTTGTTCAAAGCGACTTACAAGTGATAATCAGCATGTTGCCCTTTAGGCTAACAACAACAACAACAACAACAAACAATTTCCAGTCAGTCGTAGGAGGCTGTGAGGCAGCATGATGAATCGTGGAGAGGAGGGAACAAGGAGTGGACAGCAGAGAGAGGGCACAGGTGCAGGGAGTGTGCTAGTTTAGAAGATGCTCTCTGAAGAGCAGGGTCTTCAGGAGTTTCTTGAAGATTGAAAAGGAAGCTGCTGGTCTGGTAGTGCTTGGAAGGTCATTTCACATTGAGAAGAGTCTGGATTGTCCTGAACGTGGTGTAGGCACTGCTAGCCGACGATCCTGTGATGACATGCATGAACATGCAGGCTCAACATGAAAATGGTCTCCCACACCTATTTTTTGCATTAGCTGCTGATGGAATATGACCTAAAATCTATACGCAATGCATTTTGAAGCACATGCGATGACAATATATTTCACAATATAATCTTTTCTTCTGTTTACACATGTCAAAATGACAACATTCTAACATACAGTGGTGTGAAAGACTCTTTGCCCCCTTCCTGATTTCCTATTCTTTTGCATGTTTGTCACACAAAATGTTTCTGATCATCAAACACATTTAACCGTTAGTCAAAGATAACACAAGTAAACACAAAATGCAGTTTTGAAGTGATGGTTTTTATTATTTAGGGAGAGAACAAAATCCAAACCTACATTGCCCTGTGTGAAAAAGTAATTGCCCCCCTTGTTAAAAAATAACCCAACTGTGGTGTTTCACACCTGAGTTCAATTTCTGTAGCCACCCCCAGGCCTGATTACTGCCACACCTGTTTCAATCAAGAAATCACTTAAATATGAGCTGCCTGACACAGAGAAGTAGACCAAAAGCACCTCAAAAGCTAGACATCATGCCACGATCCAAAGAAATTCAAGGACAAATGAGTACAAAAGTAACTGAGGTCTATCAGTCTGGTAAAGGTTATAAAGCCATTTCTAAAGCTTTGGGACTCCAGCGAACCACGGTGAGAGCCATTATCCACAAATGGCAACAACAGGGAACAGTGGTGAACCTTCCCAGGAGTGGGCGGCCGACCAAAATTACCCCAAGAGCGCAGAGACAACTCGTCCGAGAGGTCACACAAGACCCCAGGACAACTTCTAAAGAACTGCAGGCCTCACTTGCCTCAGTTAAGGTCAGTGTTCACGACTCCACCATCAGAAAGAGACTGGGCAAAAATGGCCTGCATGGCAGATTTCCAAGACGCAAACCACTGTTAAAGGGACTTTATGGAGTTTTGAATTTGTATGCTCGCGATTGCCCCCTCAGGCCAAAAGCGTAACGGCAGCTTCAATAGTAGGCTCGTGCACGAGGCGCGCATGCTGTAAGTGCACACTCCTTAACGAAAATAACAGCTGAGACAGTCCCGTGTGTGTGTGTGGCCCGGAGGACAGGAGAACGCGCAGCTAATTAATTAAATAATTTGGTTCTGTACCTTTCTCTTCAGCACAGCCGACAAAGGTTTATGATGGGTCAGTCCTCCTGCATGCTCACATCATTCCCTTCCCTTGCTTGAAAAATTGTTCCAAAATGAAAGTTGAACACATCTTTTTTATCTGTGAATTCAATGTCGTTCGGCGAGTCTCAAATAAAAATTTGGGCATCTTACTGTAAAAAATATACCATTAATGTAAATAACAAACTCTAAATAAACTATGTTCATGTCCAGAATCGAACCCAGGTCTTCTACACGAGAGTCCGATGTCTCACTAGGTGAGCTAAAGCACCAGTGATGTCTTTTGTGTCTGTAACATTTATATCCTTGATGACAGCTGAAACAACGTTCAAAGAATGGTTCGGAGTGAAAATGGCTATTTTGTTGCTAATTTGTAGGAAATATCTAGAAGAAAGTAGCAGGGTCCTCAGAAATGTAGCTAGGTTCATCACTAGGCGTTAGGAACAGCGACAAAGTCGCTGAGTTGGCACTACCTCACACTCTGCTGCTAAAGCTACTGATAGCAAACGCTACGGGCGATGCCTGAGCGTGAACGCGCATGAAGCAGCCTGCTCGACCCGAGCATCTCTCTTTTTCTGTGATTTTACAGAAAAACAGGCAATCACAGTAAAAATGCCAGGGCTCATTCTACAGGACCAGGGCATTGCAGGAGAATGTATGAAGAAGACATTTATTATTTCTATACATGTTTTGGCTGTCACACTTCCATAACGCCCCTTTAAGCACAAAGAACATTAGGGCTCGTCTCAATTTTGCTAAGAAACATCTCAATGATTGCCAAGACTTTTGGGAAAACACCTTGTGGACTGATGAGACAAAAGTTGAACATTTTGGAAGGCAAATGTCCCGTTACATCTGGCGTAGAAGTTACACAGCATTTCAGACAAAGAACACCATACCAACAGTAAAATATGGTGGTGGTAGTGTGATGGTCTGGGGTTGTTTTGCTGCTTCAGGAACTGAAAGGCTTGCTGTGATAAATGGAACCATGAATTCTACCGTCTACCAAAACATCCTGAAGGAGAATGTCCGGCCATCTGTTCGTCAACTAAAGCTGAAGCCATCTTGGGTGCTGCAGCAGGACAATGACCCAAAACACACCAGCAAATCCACCTCTGAATGGCTGAAGAACAACAAAATGAAGACGTTGGAGTGGCCTAGTCAAAGTCCTGGCCTGAGTCCTATTGAAATGCTATGGCATGACCTTAAAAAGGCGGTTCATGCTAGAAAACCCTCAAATAAAGCTGAATGACAACAATTCTGCAAAGATGAGTGGGCCAACATTCCTCCAGAGCGCTGTAAAAGACTCGTAGCAAGTTATCGCAAACCCTTGATTGCAGTTATTGCTGCTAAGGGGGGCCCAACCAGTTATGTTCAGGAGGCAATTACTTTTTCACACAGGGCAATGTAGCTTTGGATTTTGCTCTCTCCCTAAATAATAAAAACCATCATTTCAAAACTGCATTTTGTGTTTACTTGTATTATCTTTGACTAATGGTTAAATGTGTTTGATGATCAGAAACATTTTGTGTGACAAACATGCAAAAGAATAAGAAATCAGGAAGAGGGCAAACAGTCTTTCACACCACTGTACTTCTAAATACTTCTAGAAAGTATAGAATGCCATTTATAAAACATTTAAAGGAGACCTAGAATATTCTTGTTGTTTTTGAATGAAGACGGCTTGGGTGGTCAAAAGTAGCATGCCAAAGTGTGTGACCTTTCTTGCAGCAATGCTGTTTGAATGCTGTATTCTGAAACTGATTGCTGAAGCTGAAACTAAGCTAAATAGTCAAAATGAGCTGAATGTATGTGAAGCAAAAATCAGTAATAAGCTGAAATATTTTAACAGCTGGTGTTTGAGTAGGACTAGATAGAAATATTTGTGACTTTAGCAGCATATGCTTAACAGCATTCAAAAATAAAGGTGCTTGTGGGACATTTAAGAGTGAGAGTGATGGGTGATTTATTTATTTTTCTTTCTTGGGCCTGGATCGTTTCAATGAAAAGAAATGCAACCATCTAAAAATATGTTTTGGTTTAGGGTGATCAGGAAGTGAAACAGACTGGAGACTGTGGTGGGGGGGTCAGTGCTTCCTAAACCATGGCACAAACACTAGTGCAAGTGTAGTGGTTTTAATATCTCCAAAAATGATATTGAATGTCATTTCAGTCATAGTCCAGGGTAGGGTCCTGTGGGTCAGTGCCGCATTGCAGGGCTTTGTGATAAACTTTGTTAACATTTATGCACTTTATCAAGGCACTGCAAGGGAAGGGCTGTTTACCTATTGGGATAAACTGAGTAGTGTTAATGCTGGGGAATGTGCCGTTCCGGGTGGGGATTTGAACTGTTGTACTAATTTTACTCTAGATAGATCAAGGGTAGGGATGCACCGATGGATCGGCATTTGATCGTAATCGGCCGATAGCGCCCCTATCGGTTTTGATCGGAATTTTCAAAATAGATCAAAGCAAACCGATCAGGTAGGGTTGTCACGGTAACCAGTGTAGCGCTAAACCCCGGTAAAAAAAAAAAGTTGACAATAATAACCGTCTTGTTTTTAAAAAACTATATTGTCTTGGTGGGTTTACCGTGGCAGCGGTGTAGGCGCGGTGACCCTTACCAGCCACCCTATCACCTGCTGAAGTTGCCGGCGGCACATGCACGCTTTGTTTACAACAAAACTTTCTTGAAGCTAAAGCTGAAATAATGGTCAAAGGAGGAGACGGCAGCGCTCAGGAGGACATTTATTATCCCTCAAAGAAGACAAAGTCAGAAGTACGGGCATATTTTAGATATTTGAAGAATGCCGAGGAAGTTTATAGAAGACGGGCGGCTATCCTGTTTGCAGCACGAGCAGAAAAAGTGTCTGTGAAAGGCAGAAACGCTTCAAATCTCATGACACATCTGCGTGACCATCACCCACAACTCTACAGTCAACGCAAGGCAAGCTAACGTTAGCGTTTTAGCTAAAATGCGTGATCCGAGGATTTGGGTTGAGGGAGAACGCAACGAGTTGCTATATAAAGCAGCCGCAGCGCCGCTACCTGCATATAAACCGTGTCGCGGACACCGCCATGTTGAAATGACGCTATGCATTACGGGGCTTCCAGGGGCAGATAAGAGTTGGTCTCTCTCCGAGAATAATTATGAATTTAACAATGATTACTGCCTGATGACATTTTCCCAAATCTGCAAAGCTCACTGGAAGGACACAAACCGAGGACAATATTTTCCTGAAATACGGATTGCTCAAGTAAGGGTAAAAAAAAAAGTATCTGAGTAGAAGGCTACTTGAGTACTGAGTATCATCTGGTCTAATATTTTTAAATGATGACATCAAACAGACATAAAATACGAAGTTATGGGCAAATATAGGTGTTTTAAAGACTAAAGGGGAAAAATGTAAACAAATAAACAACATAATTACAAAATAACACATTTTAGGCTAAATTTAGACACAAACTGAGGACAATATTTCCTGACATACAGGGTTAATTTAATTGTGTGAAAATGTAGCACGTTTAAAAAAAATACCGCGATAATACCGAAAACCGTGGTAATTTTGGTCACAATAACCGTGAGGTTAAATTTTCACACCGTGACAACCTAATACAGACCATTTTAGATTAGGTTACATTTCCTTTATTCCCAGATTATGTAGTTTGTAGCACTCATTATAATGTTGTAGAAAATTTCTGGCCAATCCACGTGATCGGTATCGGTGATCGGTATCGGTGATCAGCATTCTTTGATATCGGTATCGGTGATCGGCAGCAAAAAACCTGATCGGTGCATCCCTAATCAAGGGAGGAACCACATCTTTGGCCCGCTATTCCTTTGTCACAAATAGCGACAGACAGATGTATCTGATGTGTGGCGATTAAAAAAATCCATCCAGTAGAGGGTACACATGGGTTAAAAGGTCAGGTGGTAGGTAGTTAGTGCTGCTAGATTAGACATGGTTAGGGTGAGAGCACACAGCCCTGCTCCAGTTTGGTGCACGATTAAAGAAGAATGTGGAGATTGTAATGTGGACGGACGTGTTCTGCATCAACAGCAGTTAACTTATCACTGCTACATAAACAATAAGCACTGCTGAGGACAGCTAAGTGATCTCTTCTTGTCTGCTAACAGCTGCCAGCACTATACATGGTGAAAATCACCAGTAAACTCAGTCACATGTTAGAGCAGAACACCGGTTTGCTCATATCTGCTTCAACCCCTCCTAAATATGGGCTACTGCTTCTCCATTTGCAATAGTTTCTGTTTGAAGGTCTGTAAAGGAAATGTTCATTTGTCTTTTTCCACATATTGACTTATGACAGCTTAGTTTAAATAGTCATTAGCCTATTGGGCTGCATGGTGGCGCAGTGGTTAGCACTGTTGCCTTGCAGCTAGAAGGTTGCAGGTTTGAAACTCGGCTGCAGCCTTTCTGCGTGGAGTTGCGTGTTCTCCCCATGCATGCGTGGGTTTCCTCCGGGTACTCCGGTTTCCCCCACAGATCACAACACGCCCTATAGGTTATAAATTGTAAGCTGCTTTGGATAAAAGCGTCTGCTAAATAAATAAACATAAACATAATTAACCCCTAACAGCATACCACTAGAGGGAGCTCTCACTCTACTATTAGACAATGACTGGTCTAGCTGCTGTTTGTCTTTTATGTCATGTTACACTTTACCTGAAACAAGGTGAGCTCTGCTACATCTTACTGATCAGTAACAAGTCCATATGGGCTAATCAGAACTTCTTACAGGCTCCTTCTTTTGATTGTGATGGCTACTTTGTGTGTCTGTAATGTGTGTTTGTGTGTGTGTTCCTTCAGGCTGCAGAGGAGGTGTCAAAGAGCCTGGTGGCCATGAAGGAGATCCTGTATGGCACAAATGAGAAGGAGCCTCAGACAGAAGCAGTAGCCCAGCTGGCCCAGGAGCTCTACAACAGTGGATTACTAAGCACCCTGATAGCAGACCTGCAGCTTATTGACTTTGAGGTGACACGTGCTCCAGACTAGAAATTATTCTCTTAAATGTGTTAATTTTTCACATAAAAATTTCATGTCTTTTTTTCATAGCAGATTTTAGCAGTTCTATTGAAAAATCTCTAAATGTTCATTTTAAAATAGAGCAAACAATTGTCATGTTGTGGTGTAGAAATCTAACCCACGACCTACAGAATCAGCATAGAGACGGGGGTGAAGTGTTTAAATAAGAATTTATTATAAGGGAACCCAATGAAGCAGCATAAACATAGCAGAGTTCTTTCACAAGGGAGCCGGTGCGGGAAATCTGTGGACAGTTGGGAGTTAGATCCAACTCGAGGAGGGAACAAGGAATCTGAATTGTGCGGAGGACTTACAGTCTGGAGAGGAGGGACCTAGCTCGAGGGAGGGGTGTTCCGGTCTGGGCTGAGATCCAAAAGGTGAGATGTGGAGGGAGCCGAGTTTGTGGAGATCCGGGGAGCTTAGGTGGGCAGCTGGAGGTGGCTCTGGCCAGGGAGAGGCTGAGAGACAAGCAGGTTGGAGTTCCAGAGTTCAGCCAGTCAGAGATGAAGGTGGAGGTTTTATCTGGTGAACGAGAGCAGGAAGGGTAAATGCAAAATCCAAAACACATCTAAAATCTCGAAAGGTCCAAAGAGCTCGAATATAATATGAAGAGGTGGCTTACCCCGGCTTTCCACCGGAGCCGTCAGCAGCACGTTACTGCAGCAGCGCGTCATAGCTGCTGATAGGAACCGCTGTGGTCAACAGAACCTTTTCCACTGGAGCCGTCAGCACCGCGAGTCGGCTGCGTCTCAGGAGCAGCATGTCGCGGCCTTTACGCGCCGGTTCTATTTTCTACGCGCGACGCCTCTGAAACGGGTCAAGTTCGACGTTTTTGGGGAAGGAAAGACAGGAAATCGGACGCGGAAACGGAGCAAAGCTCCCGAGATTTTCAGAATAAAGAACGTACTGCCTTCCGGTTGCTTTACTTTAAAAAAGTTACTAACTGTGCGTCCCCGTGAGAAGTTATCACCTAGCTAGCGGTCTCCTTTGTTTTTCAGGTCCGTATTGGCGATTATAAAACGGACAGAACATAAAACACAAACCATGTTGTAGTTTTCTCCTGCTTGTTGTTGTGTTTACTGACGTGCTCGGTCGGTGACAGCTGCTCCCCTGCTGCTTCGCGTCTCGTGGGAAGGGCCAAGCAGCAGCTTACGCGAGCAAGACGTGCTGCTGCAGTAACATGCTGCTGATGGCTCCGGTGGAAACCCGGGGTTAGAAGGTACCCGGGTAGAGTAATCATCCAGCGAAGTGTAGAAGTCTCTCAGCTGCTTAAATACACCTGGCCGGCTGATGAGCAGATCTGCTGCAGCTTGGTCAACCTCCAGACACGCCCACCTGCAGAGGGAAAACTCAGAGACAGGGAGTGACAGCAGGAACACACCTCAGACCGTGACAACAATTAATGCTTTATTAAAGTGTTTAAAAGTCTACCCATAGATTATTAAACAAAACAATAAGCAATGAAATCATTATTATTATATTTTGTATCGGCTTTGCCCTTTAAGGCTGGATTGGGTAAGCGATTCTTGATACGCCTCTCACTGACGAGCTTCTAAAGGTGTAGTTCACTAAAAACATTTCTTCAGGATTATTTCTGATTATAATCAGCAGAGCTGTGGAATATTCGATGCATCGAGATGGAGGCATAAAGATTATGAATTGTTGAAGAAGCCCACCATAGGCAATTATTGTCGAATGCAGTTTGGCTTTTTAACCAATTCTCAAGCCATTATATCAGAGTGGGATGTGACATTTACAGAGTGGGAAATGTTGGTCCGCCTTTATGTAGTGTTGCAGGGCTCAGCGCTGGAGTTCTAACCTGAGACCTAGGGATGGGTACCGAATTCAGTACTTTCTAAGGCACCGGCCGAATCCCACAGTACTGACAGATTCACGCCACGTAAAACTGTGCCTTGTTTCGGTACTCGTGCCGCGCGGCGGCGCAAGAGTGTAATGTCAGTCACTGTGGACGAGCTGTAAACAAAGCAGCATGGCAGAGAGGAAGTGTTCTGAAGTTTGCGCCCACTTCACTAAGTGGGATGAGTAACTGGGTGATGATGAAACCAGCAACAACCATCTAAGTGAGGCATCATCATCTTAATTTGCTCCGGTAGGTAAATATGACTTCGTATTTGAAGTATTCCCATTTCTTCCCCGTATAATCAAGATGAGGATTTTCTGTGACAGATAAAAGGAGTTTCTTAATCATTTCACAGTATTCTTCATCATTAAAAAATAATACATTAAACTTCCAGTACCCATTTCTACCTATATTTTCTTCGTCTTCATCTTCCTCCGCTTATCCGGGTCGCGGGGGCAGCATCCCAATTAGGGAGCTCCAGGCCGTCCTCTCCCCGGCCTTGTCCACCAGCTCCTCCGGCAGGACCCCAAGGCGTTCCCGGACCATATTGGAGATGTAACCTCTCCAACGTGTCCTGGGTCGACCCGGGGGCCTTCTGCCGGCAGGACATGCCCGAAACACCTCCCCGGGGAGGCGTCCAGGAGGCATCCTGACCAGATGCCCAAACCACCTCAACTGGCTCCTTTCGATCCGGAGGAGCAGCGGTTCTACTCCGAGTCCCTCCCGAATGTCCGAGCTCCTCACCCTATATTTTCTGTCTTAGGAATTAATTTTATAGAAACAACACAATGATCCGTAACAGGGGCTGCCGATATTTCAGCGAGAGAGATAAGACCTAAAATATTTTGAGATACTAGCCATAAACCAATTCTTGACTTATTATTACTATTTGTACGTATCCATGAAAATTGTCTAATATACGGGTTAATATGTCTCCAAGCATCTGACAGAGAGTTGTTTGCACAAAAACTACTCAATGTTCGATTATAAAAATGTGTAGAGAATTTAGTGGGATATCTATCCATCCATTCATCAGGTACGCAGTTATAGTGTCGTTGTCCCCCCCCCCCCAAACCAGTATATTATCTGTTGGGTATTTAAGTTTAGATTCTCCAATAATTTTTGTAATATTATTTATGAATATTTTTTTTTCTGTTACCGAACTATATCCGTATACATTACAAACAATCCAAAAAAACACCATCGAAATTCAAAATCGCAATTATCCAATGTCCCCTTGAGTCTGCTTTATATTTCGTAAGCTTACCCGGACAGCTGTTAAAACGGATCGCCACACCTCCAGATCTGTTGGATCCATGACTAAAAAGAACAGTGTCCCCCCACTGAATCTTCCAGAATGCCGTGTCGTCTTCACATGAATGAGTCTCTTGAAGAAAGATAACTTATGCCTTTTGTTCCTTACAAAATAGAAATAATGCCTTTCTTTTGGTAATGTCCTTCAGTCTGTCACAAACTCCTCCCGCTGACTGCATTCCAATCATCCCTGCCACGAACGTGGTGGCTGACGTCATCACGCCGACACTACTTAAGGAAGTGCCGGCGTTTCATTCATTGCTAGTCATCGTTCTCACCAGACTTTGTATCGAGTCTCCAGGCTTACCAGCCCTCAAAATCTTCTAACTACACCTTCAGGAGATAACCCCGCTGGTTATCTCCGTCACTCCGCGTCTGGGCAACAGAAACTTTCAGTCACGCTTCAGATCTGCCAACGAACCTGACAGGATGACTGAGCCCCAAGTTGACCCAGCGGAGTTCGCGCGTCTGCGTGTCGAAGTGGCTCAACAGCGCGCAACCTTGGATCAGCATACGGCAGAAATGAACCAGCTCCGTGCCGTAGCTGATCGCCAAGCCACCAAGATCGAGTCACTCACCGAGCTAGTACTCCAGCTGACCACCGCTCTGCAACGTCAGATCGCAGCTGTTTCTGACAGGATGGAACCACGCCTCAGCCTTCCAGAGAAGTGGGATGGAACCAGGGGATCCCCGGAGAGCATGTTGGCGACCCTGGCCATGACTTTTGAGTGCCCGCCGGCACGCTACCCCACATCCTGCTCTCGTGTCACCCTGCTTACCTCACTGCTGACAGGTCGAGCAGGTGAATGGGCGGCGGCTCTTTACAATCAGAAATCTCCTGCCTGCAGTGACTATGAGACTTTTGTAAAGGAGATGAAAAAGACTTTTGTGCACCCCAGCAGAGAGGTTTCAGACGAGACTCGGCTGCTTCAGCTTCGCCAGGGCTCCCAGACGGCGGCTCAGTACACCTCTCGCTTCCGGACGACAGCAGCTCGGTTGAGTTGGGATGACGCCGCCCTAAAGGCCGTTTACCTGGAGGGACTGTCACCGAGAATCCGGGAGGGCATGATCGGGCACGAGGTCCCAACCTCCCTAGACCTGGCAGTGGATCTGGCTCTCCAACTGGACCGCTGCATCCTGAACCGGCCGAGCACCATGTCGGCCCCCGTACACACCAGGACGTCACCCCGCCGGCCGGCTCACCAACCGACGGAGGAGCCGATGCAGCTCGGACATCTTCCCCTTGAGGAACGGACACGGCGCTACCAGGAGGGAAGATGCGCTTACTGTGGGGATTTGGGTCACCACCGTGGCACGTGCCCAAAACAACCGGGAAAAGGTCCCTCCGGGTCGGAGTAGGAGCTGTCCCGCCCGGATTCTCCACTTTTCCGGCTCCACACCGAACCACTCTCCCGGTCTCCCTCCACCTGGACCAAGGCCCGACCAGACTGGAGGCACTTTTAGACACGGGGGCTGCGGAGTGTTTTATCGATCACAGACTGGTTACTTGGCTCAAGATACCCCTCACCGCCCTCGACCGACCCATTCCCGTGACCTCTGTGGACGGCCGGCCCGTCATGCCGTACCCTCTCACCCACCGAACTCAGGGTCTCCACATGACTATTGACCAACACCGGGAGACCCTCCACTTCCTGGTCATCCAGGCCCCGGCTATGCCTCTCATCCTGGGTCATTCCTGGTTCTGCCGCCATGAGCCTCACATCTCCTGGTCCACCAGTAAAGTCCTGGCCTGGGGCACGGGTTGCCATAACCA